GGCTTGGGTTCTTATGAGTCTTGATGTTGAATTCCATATGAGTAGCTAAATCCATAGCTAGGGATAGGGGATGATTGATTACGTTCGATAATAATTGTTTGTTCTTAATTGTTCATATCTATTCAAGTTGTGCTTATTCTAGGGTTAGTAGATTGATCACCTTTCTAACCTAAATAATAAACGTGTAGAACCGCGAGGGGAGACGTTGGTCGATATAGGCTTGTTTAGAGTAGACTTGTTCGTAATAGTATTGTCTATGAGTTGTTGGAAATGATAGTTAATCGTTTACGTTCACTCTCTTGTTACGAAAAGTTATTGAGAGTGAACCTCTGGACGAGAAACAATTCAAGTCCTTTAACCGAGCAATTGATTGCCGGTAGTTGTGTTAGAACCGAAAGCAATTATCCCCGATTCCCTAGCTCTTTAATCATTTGAGTTCATTCACTTGCTGTTTAATTTGTTGCAGTAGTTTTAGGTCTTTAGCTGATAGTTAAAACCCCAAAAATTATTGAATAGAGTGTTTAGGAATTTTTCTTTTCTTTCTCGTGATTGAGTAATCGTACAATTGAATCCGGCTAACCTTCCTTGCGATACGACCCGGGGAACGAATCTTTCGATTCTACTCCGGTAAAAATACTGACAACAATAAGCAGAAAATATATTCTAAGTACTTAGCTTAAACTGAAAAACTCGAATTATAGTATATGAGCTGTCTAGGTTCGCTCACTCGGCTTTAAAATTATTTTAGGGATTTACGAGCTGATTTTGAAAATATTGTTGTCTTTGAGACATACTAGAGTTCTCTGAAATATTTCTAAGTCTGGAACTAAAATCAGACCTAAATCTAAAATATATCTGGATCTTAAATCTACTAGAATCTCAACTTAATATCTGAAATCTTGACTATATCTGAAATCTTAATCGGACTGGATCAGAAATTCATCTGAAAAATATTTGGAATTTATCTCGAACCATCCGGACTGACCGAACCGGTTCGACTAAACTAAATCGGCGACTCTCTCGGAGTCGATCGATCATTCGCTTAACTATGTGCAGCTCGGTTTTTGACCGTGGTCCGAGTTCGGCGTGGCAACTTGGGTCGGTGCGAACTCGACTGACACAGCTTAGCCGGTGCACGATCTTGGAACGGTGCCACG